GGGGGGAAGGGTAGTGTTGGGAATGAAAGATTGAAGGAACGGCGGCGGAATGAGGAGTTTAAAAAGGGAATGAAGGATTGAGGGACTGGTGGAATGAGGGACGGTGGTAGAATGAGGGATTGAGAGGGCGTTTGAGGGAATGTAGGGGAGTGGTGAGGATTGAGGGAGTGGGGTAGAATGAGGGACAGTGGTGGAATGAGGGATTTAGAGGGAGTTTGAGGGAATGTAGGGGAGTGGTGAGGATTGAGGGAGTGGGGTGGAATTATTGAGGGGGGATAAGGGGCAAATGAGTGAGTGGGATGGAGTTTGAGTGGGTGGGGAGTTGGGGCTGAGGGTGTGGGGTCAAGTGGGTTGGGTGAGGGATTGAGGGGATAGAGTGGGTGTTGGGTGCTGGGCGAGTGTTGGAAATTGGGTGCTGGGAAGTGAGATTGGGGGCAAGCTGAAGGAATGGAGTGAGGTATTAACAAAATGAGGGAATGGTGAGAATAGAGCTGAGTATTTCGTGAGCTGTGGGCACTGAAGTGGATGGTGGCTGAAAGAGTGGGGTTGGTTGACGGAAAGGGGAGATGGTGACCAGAAAGGAGAGGGGGCTGGGAAGGGAGAGGATACGGGGAGGGAGTGGCAGGTGAGGAAGGGGTAGAGTTTGTGGGCTGAGGAGGAGAGGAGGGACTTAGGGGGACAGTGGTTCTCAGTTCAATGGGACATGAGGCTCTGTTGGTATAAGTTACTCTGCAATGTTTCTAAATCATACATCAATAAAGCTACTCCAGATTTTCTATTCAAAATCAGATGGTACAACATGAACTTTCCTTCAATCAAATGTCATTACCCGAGAGTAAAGGAAAGATCAGGGAAATTCATGACTTTCATGAAATTCAAAAATGTAATACTTCTCCCTTGTGTCAAGATCCCTTTGTTTTGCTGACAGTTCTCTTGTTTTGTCTACCACTAGGTGGACTCAGGTTTGAAAGGTCTGCTTTCCCAATTGCTGACGTGAACTTGATTGGAGGTGTAAATAACAACACCTACATGTATCACTCCTACCCACCATCCTACCACCAAATAAATCTGCACTTAAAATGGGGAAAGCACTGAATTGACAACTTTCTCATTAAGTTTTTTTTCCTGCATAAGCCAAATGCTATTAAAATAAAATATCAGTTTCGTCCAATCAGGAAGTTAGAAAATTGCTATCGTTGAACAAAAATTAAAACAATACCCACTTAGACCCAGAGATAACAAGGTGTAGAGCTGGATGAACACAGCAGGCCAAGCAGCATCAGACGAGCAGGAAAGCTGACGTTTTGGGTCTAGACCCTTCTTCAGAAATCCTCCTCCCTCCTCACTTAGACCCAGTTAATGATTTAACTGCAGAATGGAATTTAAAGCTGCGATTAGAGACACTTAGCCATCAATACTCTAGAAAAAGAAATTGTTTCATTTCTTTGGTTGATTTTCATTGGTCAGCCATTTTCATTATTTAGTTAGGAGGCACCACCTTTTTAAAAAAACTATTGCTTAAATAAAAAAAAATTATTTTGCACTTTAACTTATCTGGATGAAATCTAACGGAATATTCAATCTTTAATAGCTTAAATTTTCTGCAATTACATGGCTAGTCTGTAAGAACCATAATTATTCAGTAATACATGAACAAATAAGCCAAGAATAATATACTAATAAAACAAAACTATCTACTTTCTAGTGGAAACATTACCATAGTGTAGTTTTAAAACGTTAATTGTTGGCTAAGTAAGTGATTGAAATGCTAATTTTAGTTATCTCAAAGACTTCTATAGAGAAAACTTATAAAAGTTGTTCGCCATGGCCAGGGAACTTTAAAAAATGTAGAATAAGACATCTTCACAAACTTCCTGACAAAAGTAGATTTTTTTGTGGCAACAATTTGTTACAAACAATCCAACATGCTATTACATGTTCCAAAGAACAAGCTCATTTCCCCGATGATCCTCACAGGCACCTCAAGTGTTTGCAGGTGCGGAAACCAAATGTCATGGAACTTCTTTCATCACTGTCCAAAGAAATGGGAGAATTAAAATCGTGATTACAATGATGATGTGTTAGCAAAACAGTTTGCACTCGTGCATTATTCTGCAAACACCATTATGCCAAGCAAAGACAACTTTGCAATATGAGCCAAAGTAAAATTCTCTGAACCCATAATAAAACCTGTAAACTAATTCTACCCTAATACAAAATTTATTCAGCAGCAATCAAAGACAAGCTTTACAAACCAGGCAGGTGCAGTTTGACACATTCCACAGTGAACTTAACCAACAATTCATAACTTACACAACTTGGGTCAGGTAAATATTACTGACAAAGTTTCTCTCAAAAGTTTTCAGTACAGCTATACATTTTGAAAAAACTCCACAGAGGCCAATATCCCGTCACGAAGCCACCCTTTATTTACATCTGCATTGTGCTTGACACTGGTGCAGCTTCCTCAGAGCCAGCTCTCAGAGTGAACAGGACCTCTGACATTCCGGTTTATATCTGTCAGCCAGGGGTCCCCGAGTAGATCATGTGAACAGCTCCAAATAGGGAACTTATATCCTGTAATGTCGACCCGGCCAACCTTGTTAAAATCACTACATTCGTTCCCCTCTAAGTCCGGGGACATAGGCCTGTTATTTCTCTTGTAGCCTCTCGTGGGAAGTTATTGCACTGGGTTTGGTGCCTCTGACTCAGCCAGGCGGTGTGTACCAGACCATAGCCTGCCTCTTATAACGCAGGGCAAGAGTTATAGCTGGGGGAAAGGCAATTATGAGGCGATGAGGCAAGATTTAGGATGCATAGGATGGAGAAGGAAACTGCAGGGGCTGGGCACAATTGAAATGTGGAGCTTGTTCAAGGAACAGCTACTGTGTGTCCTTGAGAAGTATGTACCTGTCAGGCAGGGAGGAAGTGGTCGAGCGAGGGAACCGTGGTTTACTAAAGAAGTTGAATCTCTTGTCAAGAGGAAGAAGGAGGCTTATGTAGAGATGAGGCGTGAAGGCTCAGTTAGGGCGCTTGAGAGTTACAAGTTAGCCAGGAAGGACCTAAAGAGAGAGCTAAGAAGAGCCAGGAGGGGACATGAGAAGTCTTTAGCAAGTAGGATCAAGGAAAACCCTAAAGCTTTCTATAGGTATGTCAGGAATAAAAGAATGACTAGAGTAAGATTGGGGCCGGTCAAGGACAGTAGTGGGAAGTTGTGCGTCGAGTCCGAAGAGATAGGAGAGGTGCTAAATGAATATTTTTCGTCAGTATTCACACAGGAAAAAGACAATGTAGTCGAGGAGAATACTGAGATACAGTCTATTAGACTAGACGGGATTGAGGTTCATAAGGAGGAGGTGTTAGCAATTCTGGAAGGTGTGAAAATAGATAAGTCCCCTGGGCCGGATGGGATTTATCCTAGGATTCTCTGGGAAGCTAGAGAGGAGATTGCAGAGCCTTTGGCTTTGATCTTTATGTCGTCGTTGTCTTCAGGAATAGTGCCAGAAGACTGGAGACTAGCAAATGTTGTCCCCTTGTTCAAGAAGGGGAGTAGAGACAACCCTGGTAATTATAGACCAGTGAGCCTTACTTCGGTTGTGGGTAAAGTGTTGGAAAGGATTATAAGAGATAGGATTTATAATCATCTAGAAAGGAATAATTTGATTAGGGATAGTCAACACGGTTTTGTGAAGGGTAGGTCGTGCCTCACAAACCTTATTGAGTTCTTCGAGAAGGTGACCAAACAGGTGGATGAGGGTAAAGCGGTTGATGTGGTGTATTTGGATTGCAGTAAAGCGTTTGATAAGGTTCCCCATGGTAGGCTATTGCAGAAAATACGGAGGCATGGGATTGAGGGTGATTTAGCGGTTTGGATCAGAAATTGGCTAGCTGTAAGAAGACAGAGGGTGGTGGTTGATGGGAAATGTTCATCCTGGAGTTCAGTTACTAGTGGTGTATCTCAAGGATCTGTTTTGGGGCCACTGCTGTTTGTCATTTTTATAAATGACCTGGATGAGGGCGTAGAAGGATGGGTTAGTAAATTTGCAGATGACAGCAAAGTTGGTGGAGTTGTGGATAGTGCGGAAGGATGTTGCAGGTTACAGAGGGACATAGATAAGCTGCAGAGCTGGGCTGAGAGGTGGCAAATGGAGTTTAATGCGGAAAAGTGTGAGGTGATTCACTTTGGAAGGAGTAACAGGAATACAGAGTACTGGGCTAATGTTAAGATTCTTGGTAGTGTGGATGAGCAGAGAGATCTCGGTGTCCATGTGCATAAATCAATGAAAGTTGCCACCCAGGTTGATAGCGTTGTTAAGAAGGCGTACAGTATGTTAGGTTTTATTGGTAGAGGGATTGAGTTTCGGAGCCATGAGGTCATGTTGCAGCTGTACAAAACTCTGGTGCGGCTGCACTTGGAGTATTGCGTACAGTTCTGGTCACCGCATTATAGGAAGGATGTGGAAGCATTGGAAAGGGTGCAGAGGAGATTTACCAGGATGTTGCCTGGTATGGAGGGAAGGTCTTATGAGGAAAGGCTGAGGGTCTTGAGGCTGTTTTCGTTAGAGAGAAGAAGGTTAAGAGGTGACTTGATAGAGACATACAAGATGATCAGAGGATTAGATAGGGTGGACAGTGGGAGTCTTTTTCCTCAGATGGTGATGGCTAGCACGAGGGGACATAGCTTTAAATTGAGGGGTGATAGATATAGGACAGATGTCAGAGGTAGGTTCTTTACTCAGAGAGTAGTAAGGGCGTGGAATGTCCTGCCTACAAAAATAGTAGACTCGCCCACTTTAAGGGCATTTAAATGGTCATTGGATAAACATATGGATGATAATGGAATAGTTTAGGTTAGATGGGCTTCAGATTGGTTTCACAGGTCGGCGCAATATCGAGGGCCGAAGGGCCTGTACTG